GAAGTGGGCACGATGGCTTCAGGTGGGGCTGCTGCCAACGTCGGCGGTGGAGGGGCAAAGTGGGGTGTTGCTAAATGCTCTCTCACAACCCTTCCACCAATAACATTTGTAACAACTGCCCGCCCCATCCATCGTGCCCCCTGCTTTTAGTTACTCAATGTAGTGGATGATTTCATTGGAAAAAAAAAGAAGAAGCAGCTCTTATATATCATCGAACGTCTTCGAAAAGAACATACTGGCAGAACATTCTCCGGTTCAAGACCAGGGTGAACTATGAGTTCCGGCGAAAACGTTTTTATAACAGGAGCAGCTTCAGGAGCACAAATGACGTGGACCAAATCAGCACCCTGAACAAAGACATTTACAAAATGAAGCCACAGTAGACGAGTTTAACAAATTTCAAGCCTCCGGGCTACCATAACTCTCTTACGTGATACCTTTTGGAATGCCACAATGTTTTTCAGCTACCTTGTTGCTCATGTATCATATGACCGGAACGTTTACCGCGTTCATACTGTGCGAATCTGCTGGTTGGGACAATCGGCGATTGAGGACTAGGTGAAGTAAATCGATTCCCATCCAGTGCATTATGGCCGAATCCCTCGTGCAATAAGTATTCTTGCCCTTCCATGCCTTTTCGCGTGTCTGACTGCCTATTCTATCGGATCACAGATTCTGCATATTCGCAAAGTATGAAGGCGACTGACGATGTGTGGAATCAGCGATGGGTCATCTAAGCTGAACACCGCGTGGCCATATACGCGATTCTCAGTTTCGCTTTTATAACCGAAATTCATGGAACACATAAAAAAATTATTGAAGAAACCGCTCACCAGTCTTAATGCAGAGATTGCGGCAAAAAACGGGGCACCCGTGTACTCGATAGAACCACCGATCACAGCTATCTTGCCGCATTTTCCCTTGAAATGAAATTTGTACGGCAAATATTGCAACATCAACATCATAAAATAGTGCATGGAAGTCAAGAAAGTCCACAACATTATTTGCATTCACAAATCTTTAATCATTTTCGGTTGACTGTCAAAATGAAGCAGAACTTCCCCTGTTCTGCTCTATGACGCGGCGGTTGGGAGTGGGGGGGGGGGAATGGGAAGGGTGAGAGAGAAGATGATGGAAAAGTGGGTGGGAGATAGAGAGAAACTGGCAAACAACTCCCACACCTCTCTTGGCGTCCCTAATATTTGGCTCTCTTCCTATCCAAGAAGAAATAAAAAGCATGGTGACGAAAGTGGTTTATAGGAACTGGACACAAACGCATAGCTGGAAGTATACAGGGAATTGCGCCCGGAACGCGACATACTCGAAGTGAAGAGCACTCTGAAGGTTCGGCTTGAAGGAAGCATTCCGTACTCGTACAACCTTAGCTAAGTATAACTTGGTGGTCGCTCTAACCATAAGCTGAAAGCGTGCACCCAATTATATCGGCATAACACCAACTGGGCGTGCATAAAGAAGGAATCACACTTAGGTTCTCATTCGGAATCAATGTAGACTGAGAAAATATAGATTTTATGGGAAAACAAAGCCACCTTCCGCAGCAAAGCCTATTTCGCCAGTACCGGCAATCAACTTACGACGTGTTCCATACGGAATCTGAAAAAATACTCTTATCAAACCCTATCAAATTTTATTCTTCTTTGAACGCAATAATGGATTATACCAACTGCTCATATCTGCTGATGCCTTTATATAAAACGGAGATATGTACATTTATTTATCAGGAACGTCTCAATGTTTCAATACTAATCAATATGCAACTACACATTCTTTAGAACAAAATCATTTTCCTTTCACTACTTCGTACATAATTCATCACCCGGAGAACATTTTTGGGGGAAAAGTAGCAAAACAACCGGAACAACAGCAAACCGGAACCATTCATACAGTCATGATCCTGAAACGGTAGGGCGTGTGGCGCGGCGCTTGGAGCGCAGTTAGGACGGCCTTGTTCCGACAATGATGCGATCCTCAGTCCGCTACAGCTGGCGGGAAAACTGCCCCTGGTTGCGCTCCAAGTTACTCCCGTGAACAGCCCTGTTGTTTTGCAGGATCATGACCATTACCATGATAAAAACAAATGACTAAAACAAAAGTGGAGAAATGGTTATGCTTAGGTGACAAAATAGACAATCAAATGACTTCTGTTGGCAAATACTTTACATTAGCTAAGGTTACATGACTAAAGCAATATTAACTAGTTATTTTATCACTCCATATTTACACTAGATGCATTCTGAGAGTGGTCCTTCTGTTGAACCAAAGTGAGTAGAAGACGAGCTTTTTCGTGAACAAGGCGGGTATGATTCATTATGCTGAAATCCAAGACATGTTAGTAGAGATCAAGAGAATTCTTTCAGAACCACTTACTTTGATGCTTGCTTGTAATATTGTAAGGCCTTCCTGAAACTACGCTCATCCAAATTTCTGTTAGCCTGAATGCGTTCCATGCAATTCTGAAAAAAAGGATAAATAAATGCAAAAAAAACTGATGTTGGAATGCTGAGCAGAAACGCAAAATTAAACCCCATGAAAACTACATGATGGATTACAACACTGGGACAGAAAAGTACATTCTAAATTCTAAATACAGGACTGACCTCATTAAAAGACACATTCTACGATTGCAAACCGCAGGTATAATGTAGTTCTCTGCGGACGGTTGGGCGTGTCAGGCGGGATGAGTTTGGCGCGGTGCCAACCGTTCTCCACCAGTTGTTAAAGCGAGCAAATGATATGACTGTATCATATCGTTCGTATTACTCGTTTTCTACCACTTTTTGTCGCATGCGCGCTTCAACAAGAAGGCAGAGAACGGCTTCGACGGCGTGATACACTCATACTGCCTGACATATGGTAGGGTTCAAATGCGATTTTGTATTGCTAGATGACTCACTCGTAAAGAAAAAAGGCAAAAGAAAAGGTCGAAGTCGCTCCGACGAGGACTGGTTGGTTCAAGTCGTTTGACAAATAATTCGCAAAGATACACAGAAATCAGGCCACCGTAAAGGGGAGCGGGGGAGGGGGGATATGTGACAAGACAATCGTAATATGCCGCACTGGTGAGAGATGCCGCGCCTGATAGACGAGTTGTCCTGTCTGCCTATTTGAATATGGGTAGGAAGACAGGAAAATTGATTGGAATTCATCCGTAGCCTTCCTTCGCATGACTTCTGTGACTTTTGGTGTTCCAATCAAGGAACTGATGCACACTGAGAATTTCGCATCCTCACACGATACGCCGACGTGCCACGAAGCGATATGCTTACGATTGTCTTGTCCGTCACCCGAGGCGGGGG